GCAGGGGTCGGGGGGGGGGGTAAGGTTCAGGACACCAGGGTTCAATTTGTTGATTGTATTGCCAACTTTCTTTGTGACCTTAGGCAAGTTATTTAACCTCTGTGCATGTGTTGCCCATCCATAAAACAGAGCAGCAATTTCCCTTACGTGGCGTGGGAAGGAGTTTGGATAGAGTCCATAAACTAAAGTGCTTGGAGCTTCCCCAGGTGAAAGTTGCTGTAGAAGTGCAAAGTGACCAGAGAAGTGAGAGGGGAAATAAAACCACATTTAACGTGATGTGATGTGACAAGCAATAATTATTTTCTGTCAGGCTTGAAAGCCTGAGTTGAAACAACCCTTTCATGTTTATGTAGCTTGCCTGGAGGGTTAGTTCACAAACTCTTCTCTCAGTTCCCTTTTGGGTAATAAAAGCATACGTAGGTATCTTTCTGATTTCAGTGCTTTCTAGATAAAACTGTGCAGGACAAAGTGTTGGATTAAACGATTCTTTCTCTGTCTCTCCAGATAACAAAGCTTTCTTTGTCATCTCCATGTCAGAAAATGGCGCCCATATTTACGAACTAGTGGCGCAGACCGTTTCGGAAAAAAACGCGTAAGTGAGGGGCTTGGCCGCCTATGCTGTGCCGTGTTGTTTTTGTCACCTTTTAAAGAGAGATCGTATCTCTCACTGCCTGAGGAATTGTTCTGCTGTCCAGGGAGCTGTGAGTTGTCCGCGTGCTCACCGTCAGCTCAGCCATGTGTGTCCACATACACGTAGCAATTAATGTCTAAAACTCTCTTCCCATATCTCCCCTCCATCTGGAGTTTTCCTTCATTATTAAGCACAGTGATGAAAGCTCTTTGCCAGTGTGGGCTCTTCCTCAGGGTTTTCATTGCGGTGTCTCCTGTCTTGCCTACAGACGTGACATTTCTGAGCACAAGCATTGTGTGTGGTTACAAGGTATCTAGTGTATAGTGTTTTGTACATCATCCTTATGGACTATACAATTCATAGATTTCATAGACGTTAGGGCTGGAAGGGACCTCGGAAGATCAGCGAGTCCAGCCCCATGTGTGGGGCTGTGGCTGTTCAGCCTAATGTGTGGTCCATAGGACAGGTGAGAACTACTGGCTTTGGTACAAAGGAATTTGGCAGATAACCTGCTGTCATGAGTGAAACAGGTGACCCTGGCTTTATTAATAACATTCTAGTATCATCTTTAAACACCAGCTCATGAATATTTTGTCCTGGGAGAGTGGATGGCTCTGAAGTTGGCAATGAGGTAAAAAAAAAAACCTGGTCTGTACATTAAGGATTTGAAACTGGCCCCAAATCTTCAGTGAGCAGAAACTGTCATCCAGTGACTTAAGTGTCCTGCATTGTGTGAGAGTAACTGGTGGGTTTTGATTAAGTCCATCCATGGATGGATGGTACAACAAGTATATTACAAATGATTTTTGGCTCTAACTAATTACTGTATTCCTGGGGAGTCTCTGGAGAGAATTTTAGATGGCAGGCTAAGTCACAGGGCTAAAGTTGCCTCTGCCCTCCCTACCCCCACCCCTCACATCCCCTAAGGAAATCCATCCAGAATTGGGTTTCTAAATGAGGGGATGGAAGGTCAAAGGATGTGCTGGGAGATGGTCCCAGTGTTTGCTGCTGTTCTCCTTGCTGTTTGCCGATGGAGAGGAGACTTCAGCTTCCAGGAATGTCACTCTGGCATTTCTTAACAAGCGCTGCAAATTCTCTTTAAGTTAAAACATTAATTAGAAATTTTAAAAGTTCACTGCAGACAAAGACGTTTGTGGTCCCTTCCTTCAATCGAGGTGTAATTAGGATGACTTCTATTGTAACAAAGGCTCTTTTCAGTGTGACGAAGCTTTTGTTCGTTTTGCTGGCATCTCAAATGGGATATTAAATTCTGAAGTGTAGAAATTAGAGCTGTAGTTTGGGAGTGTATGTGTGTTTGCAGGCGCTCTGTACATTTTCGTTAAAAATGCCTGGAGACAAAGCCAAGCAGCGGTAGGAATGCAATCCCGGGTTATATTCCCTGGTTTCACTCCAGTAGGAATCTTGCAACAGGGAAACATATTTGGAAAGCAAAAATCTCCCCCTTTTTCACCAAACTTTCTGGTTTATTTTGTTTCTGGACGAACTTTTAGGGAACAGAATAAAATCTCTGCGCCCGCTTCTGTATCCACTCACAATATCTGTTGCCTCCCTTTCACTGTGGGATAGGGTAGCGCCATCAGTCCATTGCACAGAATATTTTGCTTTGGGGCAGGTGGGTGCAGATCTCGCGGTGCCGAATTGTGTTTCCAACTGCTGCTTCTGTACGGTTCCTGCAAAGGCCCTTGCATTAGTCTTCCAGTGCTGGAGCGTCTGTCTGGTGAGGTCAGCCTAATTAACCTGTGCAATTTAACTCGCTGCCTGTTATTTTTGGCCTCTTGCAGATGGCAGGACCTGATAGCTCAGATGGCAGGGACAGTGAAAACTGAGGCTTCCACCAGAAGGGTGATACCATTACCACAGCCAGGGCCTGGCGAGTAAGTAGAGTTCACTTTTGGCTTTTTGCTGTTCCAGCATTTTTTTTTTTTTTTTTGCCTCATCTAGAGTAGGATAATTGAGGCCATAATGTTGGTAGTGGGTGTAAATGCATCTTCCTAAAAGAACTCGTGTCTCCTTCTCACAGAGAAGAGCGTGAGGAAGAGGAGCAGAAGTTGAAAGATGAGCAGCCTGATATTCCAGCCAGCAGCATGCAGAGTCCAGGTAATGATACAAATAACTGCTAGATTGAGTGCAGGAGTGCTAGGCCATGCCTCTTGCATTAGTGGGATCTTGCTACAGCAGTGGAAATTCTTCCTGGAAACACCACACCACGAGTCCTACGGTGGAGTGAAAATCGGGCTTTCGAGAGATACGGTTAGCTTGTCTGCAGCTGGGAAAGGAGAACCTCAAATGGCTCAGCTTGCTAAAAATGTACCGTGTTGGGACTTTCTCCAAAGCTGACCGTGTGGAAGAGCCCGTGTGTGTTAATTTTCAGTACTTCAGCTTACATACAGTTACTTCTGTGTTTTCTGTTTGCTAGATAAAGAGTTGGGCCTTGAGCCTTCCCTCTTACTGAAGACCCAGTCTCCTTCAGCTGTCATGTCAGAGAAGTCTGAAGTAGAAGATCTCCTCGTGACAGAGAGGCAGTTTGGCAAAGAGCAGCAGGAAGACGAGCTTGTGCTGAAAGACTCCTCTGCGTGCTACGAACAAGCGACCGCAGACGTGCCTTTCCGAGTCTCAGAAGAGCGGTGGGCACTGGATGCGTTAAGGAGCTGTGAGTAGCTCTGCTACTTTGGGCGGTTGTGGCCTGGAGCAGATTGATTTTTGGCTCTGGGAATTTGGGGAACAGTTTGATGCTAAAGAGTATCTTTAGCCCATTCCTGTAGCAGTGGTTGCCTCTGTCTGGGTTGCAGAAATTGGAGAGATGAAACATAGTGGGCTGGTGTTCAGGGACTTCTGCAGCGAAACTATACCTCAGATGCTGGCTCTTTCTGTGGTTTTGGGCAATTCCTGTAATTGCTCTGGCACGGCTCCCCTGACTGTAGAGCAGGATAATACTGATTTATAAGGAGTCATTAGTTCTTGCCCATAAAGCACTTTGGAAATAGAACAACACTGTGAGGCTCTATGAGGAAGTGCAAAGTCTTATTGCTCAAGTTACATTTTAAACAACAGGTAACTAATGTGCGGAACTCCTTGCCACAGTATTAAGGAGTGCTTGGTAATATGAAAAAGGATGGGCTATTTAGAGTACCAGCATACATGCATTCAAATTACAGATTTGGGGTGAAAAGGGTTGGGACTGAGTTTATTATCATGCCTGAGGCTGTAAGCCAACCTCTGAGGGAGCTGTGAACATCAGCTCTCTTCAAGGTGGTTATTCAGTGATTTGCTCTTTTGAAGGAGAGGTACTGTCCTCTGCCTCCTGACCCTGGACCACTGAGCTTGGTCCCACATGGCAATTCCTGTGATGACTCTGTTAATTTATGGATGTGAGGGGCACAGGCATATGTGCCTGTCACCTCTGAAGTGGTTTATAGATTTCATAGGCATTAGGGCTGGAAGGGACCTCGGAAGATCATCGAGTCCAGCCCCCTGCCCCCAGAGGCAGGAAGTCAGCTGGGGTCAAAGGATCCCAGCAAGATAAGCATCCAAATTTCTCTTGAAGGTGTTCAGTGTAGGTGCTTGAACCACCTCCGATGGCAGGCTGTTCCAGACCTTGGTTGGGGTCCCTGGGAGTTGTGCTGTTTGGGGTTGATATAGCAATACCCCATTGGCGCTCTAAGCCTCAAGACTTCAGGCATCCATACCCTCTCCCTCGTTCCCTGCATTGGGCCTCTCCACAAGGAATGTGAAATCTCTCAAATAATTTACTTCTCAGATCTTTTGATTCAGCTCGCATCAAGTTTTTACAGGATGGGAGAGTACTGTTCTAGCTCTGGCTAGTGTGGGAATATTACTAGTATTTGTTCTCGGAGGGTGTTGAAAACTCATCGTGGGAGGTGTGTGGATGATATTAGCAGTCAACTGTGCCTCTTGGCTCCTAAGATTTAGCGAGCCGCATTTTAATCGCAGCTTTGGGTCATTGCACGTTTCTGTAACAGCCTTGCGTTCAGATTAGTGACTGCTTTGCTACATGAACTGACAGCATTTCTCAGAGGTGCCAGGAGTGTTGCAAAAAGGGTCCTAATAAGTATCCTTTTTCTGTCGTGGTCTGGTTTGAATAACTGGAGTGAGAGTGAAATCTCGCTATTTAAGACTTTACCTTGTATTTGCATCAGGAGCTTTGCTTTGATCTGCCATCTTATGTTCTCATGATACTTGCTCCTTAAATGGGAACTCCTATTAATAGCAGTCTTATTTAGTAGTTAAAACTGTGGAAACAGGAAATTGGAGAGTTGGATTTTTTTCCCTGTGCTGTCATTGTCTCACTGGATGATTTAAGTCACTGATCTGTGTCTTTCCTCATCTGTAAATTGGGAATTGTGTGCTGCACTTACCCTATTTGTAACGTGATTGAAGAGACAATGCTGTGACAAGTATTGTATTCTACCCTCCTCTCCCCCAAGAGTTAACAGTGAGAGGATTTGATCATGTGTCTGCGCTTTCCAAAAGAGGCATCAAAGGACCCATTTCATTTCAAACACAGTTGAGGTGGCTTCTGTGCACTAGTGAACACTCTGTGTTTCCTTTCAGTGGGCTTGTTGAAACAGTTGTTGGTGCAGCAGCTTGGCTTGTCGGAGAAGAGGACCCTTGAAGACTGGCAGCATTTTCCCAGGTTTAGGACAGTTTCCCAAGGTGCTTGGGCAGAAAGTGGAAACCAGGGTGGACTGCAGCACTCTGATAATAACAAGATGCACCAGCCTGGAGTGGACCGGATGTCTGTCAGACCTGGAACTAGTGAACCCGCAGCTTGTTACGGTATCCGGACTTCAGCTGAATTCCCAGCTTCACAGGATGCCGTGCAGCTGGTATCTAGAGACGCCAGGTCAGGTAATAATGTAGTAATGGACCTTGTAAGCATGAACGTGGAGACCCCGCTCACGGAGCTGGAAGGAGTGGGTCCTGATGACAATGGAGAGCACTTCTTTGATGCCCGCGAGGCCCACAGCGACGACAACCCGTCCGAAGGAGAAGTGACGGAAAGGAAGGAGGATGTGGAGGTGCAGTTACGGATCTCAGGTGAGCAGGTCCCCTTACCACGCTACACTGAATGTAGATCTGTCCAGCTCAAAGGGTAGAGCTTGGATACTTTGTGCTCAGTGATGAATAAGTGATATATTATTAAAGAGGACCACAGTTATAGTCTCATGAGGAAACTGTCTTGCTAATGCAATATGAAACACTTACAAATAGCTCTTTTGGTCTTTAGAAGTCCTTTCAGCTTGGAGTGTATAATAATAGCTAATCCTTTGTACTTCAGAAAGGGCTGTACAAATGTTAACTCGTTAATTCTCTATTTTTGCGAGGGAGAGAGTGAGAAGCTGCAAGGCTAATGGCTTGCCATGGGCCTCGGTGCAAAGCTAGGGATAGAACGTAGGAGCTAATGACCCGTCCTCTTGCGCTGTTAGTTTTCAGTGAATTCAGGGCATGCATAAAAGAGAGCATTGCATCAATCTGCTGCAGCACCATCAGTGTACCAAGGTCTTTCCATAGCCGCATCCTCCTAGTTTCCTTGTTTAGGGACTGTAAAGAGATGCTGTAAAGTTCATTTTCCAAGTCTGGAAATCGCCCGTTCATGCCACTTGAAACCAACTTTTCCACAACCCTTTGAGCCAACACAGGGACCTCACTTACAGACTTACACCCAGGCTTGCAGCGTTGCTCTCTCGTCCTTAAATGATTTCTCCCTATACCAGAAGTTCTGATGAAGAGCATCACTGTGTGCATGTAGAGATGACTCTGGAGTCACTTAGAGATGTTATCAGTAGCATAAGAGCACCAAATCTGTATTTTCTGTTGCTGCATAACATGAAGGCAAAACTTGGGGTATTTTCTTTGGAGAGCAGAAGAATGACATCTTGGGGCACTACTGTGATTTCTGCTAACGTACCTTTTTCCAGTATTGTAACCTTAAATGGTGTGGTGAACCTTTGTGGTAACTGCAGGTGGACTGTCAGGCTGGTGGGACCTGCCATGTTGTAGCCCTTGTTGAAATTCGTGTCTGAGCTACAGAAAAAGAACTTGCTGCAGCTTGGCTTGGCTTTGTAATTCTCTCCAGGGACTCCCCTGCAGCCAGGTCTGAAGCTCTTAAAAGCTTTTTTGTTTATATATCATATTATATTTAATGATTCCCCAAGTAACATCTTAAAACAAACGTTTTCAAGCCTTCCAAAAGGGATGTACAGGCTTGTTCATCAGCACAACTTATTACTCAGTTCCTCAGTCTGAGATGGCAGTTTTGAGTGCTTTCCCGGGGCTCAGCAGGTTCTAGGCGGATGGTCCTGCCACTGCCGCGTGTCTGGAGCGGCGGCACTGCACTCAGTTGACACAGATGTGGCTATTTCGTGTGTCTGGTAACAGAATCAGCTGCTAATAAGTACATTCCATTTGACTCTCATGCTGTGGAGGACTTATTCATCAATATTTTTTTTATTTAAAAACTGGACTCGCTTTTGGATTGGCCAGATGACACGATCCAGTTGTGTATTAGCAATCGCTGTCTTTTCCTTCCCTGTGTGACTAAGATTCTTTAAATGATTAGAACTGAGCCAACATCTTTAAACATCTGACTTTTTAATTATTATTATTTTACCTCTTACACTGTTTACTTTTTCCGTTTAACTAAGCAGGGACATTGAAGATAGACTGGCCCAGATCTGGTTAATCCAACTCCTGGCTCGCTCGTGCTAGCTTGCTGCAACCTTGTTATTGTCAAGAAATGCCACTGGCGAGTGCTAATCATGCAGACACCTGTGTTACTGTGTGCGCGCATGCTTTTTTGAGGGTCTCGTAATAAGAATCTGAAACGAAAATTTTTGGAGCAGTTGGGCACTTCTTATTCTGTGGTTCTTGAATTTGTGGCCCTTATGCCACCGGTGGCTTGCGAATCCTGGTTCTGAACCAGTCCAGTTCAGTGAGCCACTGCCCTCTGTCACACTCGCAGTGCATCAGCTAGTCTGCGTTAAAATATGTTGAGAGATGAGGCCTCTACCGCTTCTTTTTTTTTTCTTTTTTTAATGTCGTCTTAAATTGTCTCTAGTTCATTTGGCTTTTGGTGACTATATTGAGCTGGTGCGGTTAGTCCAAAGCTCTTCTCTTAACAGGAAATTATTTGATCCTTGACGGATATGGAACGGTGCAGGAAAGCTCCACGGACGACGAGGTGTCTTCGCTACTCCTACAGTGCACTGCAGGCAACACCTCTCTGGACACTGCGCAGCAGCAACACGTTTCCCCCAGGGAGGCCCAGTCGGACGGGGGGAGCTCCCTGTTTGCCGAGTTCATGGCCTCCCGCTGGGCGACTGTGGAGGAGTCCAGCTCCGGAGCACCAAGCCCCGCCTTCTCTGCAGAGTCACGTATCCAGATGATGCAGTACATTCGCAAGATCGAGGCTGACCTTGAACACTTAAAGGTACAGTGTGCTTCTGTTGGAATTAGTTGGGGTTCTTCATCCTTGAGCTCTCCTTCATGAAATTTGAGGGAAAGATGAGACGATCTTGGGTGTGGGGAGGTGTGCAGAGATGGGGGGGTGTTATATATGGAAGGGTTGGAAGCTAAAATTGGCATTATTCCTCTGGTTTTTAAATCCCAGGTCCAGGAGAAGCCTGTATGTTTATCTAAATGTATGTGACTGTTAAACAGAGCTGCTTTGTTAAAAAAAATGCGGACATTCAGATTGGTATGGGGAAAAGGATGCTTGCCTTGGAAATGGGTTTAAGTTAGGTGAAGGTGCAGTGTTGGCCATTGGTATTTGGGGTGATTTGCATGAAGTCACCAGTATTAAAGCAGTCCCTAACTGGAGTATCCCCAGCATAGGAGGTCCAGCTGGAACATGGAGAAAGAGCCACATGTGTTTTATCTTCCAGGAGATCGAGGAAAATTATGCCACTCTCCTTCGCCAAAGGCTGGCTGGATCAGCCCCCACAGATGAGCACTCAGGTATGCGAACAACATGCCATCCCCGTGTTCCCAGTGCTCCTATTTGTAAAGGGTGATGTATGCTAAAATACCCTGGCACAAAAGAAGTTGAGCAGGTTCAGTTGTTAATTTTTCAAACAAAAGCCTTCGAAAGGAGTTCAACCTGCTGATTCCAGATGAGGAAAATCAAGGCAGCCAAGGCTTGGACTTGCTGAGTGCGTTTTCCTTTCCCTGAAAGCATGGCTTGATGTTTGTTTGAGGCACTTCAGCCTGCTTTGATTCCCTTTAGCCAAGTGCATCGCTTGCCTTTTCAAAGGGGACTAGATTAATTGAAGAAGTAAAGGCAGTTTGAGAGAAGCTGGGCAGACCTCTGTTACTTTGGGGGGTAAAATGTCGTGTGCACCTCTGGCCCTGTAAGCAGGCATCACGGGTCCCTTTGAACGTGGCCTGAGCAGGTCTTTGTGGTGCCTGTAGCTCAGCGTCAGCTGTGGCATGTTATTGTCCCCGAGAGCAGCGCTCTGGGTTTACCATACAATTTGAGCTGGTTATGATGCTCCCTCCCTCATGGCTTCCCACCTTTTCTTTCTTCTTCAGACAAAAGTTAGTCACGTTTTTAGAAGTGGCTGAAGGTTGGATGAAGAGTATCGGCGCCTGCTGGCTTCCGTGTGGACTCTGAGGCTACAGGGTTTCTTTCTGTGGACCATCCAAGTGTTAACCATACTCCAGCAAAGCAGGGAATGGGGTGCTTTCCTTCAGGGGCAACTGCACTAGCCTGGCTGGCAGGGAGTCTCTTCCATTCTCTCCTCTTCCTCTCCTTGCTACTAAAAAATTGTTTTTGATTCTGAACAAACAGACAAAAAAAAAAAAAAACCAAACCAAATGTACAGAGCTTTGGGTGTAGGATATAAAATGTATTTAGACATTAAAAAAAAAAAATCATTGTATTTATTTGACTTCATTCCGTGTATCAAAAGCACATTTTAACATTTTTTTTTTTTTTTCTATTTGCTTTTTGTTTGAATTGGGTAGTGACAAGTCTAGGCCTCTGCATAGAGTACCCCTCCCCACCCCCCCGGGGTCTTGCTGTTCCTGGAAGCAAGTGCAGTTGGAAGGAGAATGCGTGTGCACACGTGTGTCTTGATTTCACTGGGCTGGACTCCACAGTCCCTCCTGGCAACAAAACTGCCATGCAAAGAGCTATTTTGGAAGGGGTTAGAATGAATTGTGGCTGAAATGAACTGTATTGAAGAGCATGGGAGCTGTCTCCGTGCTGGGCGAGTGCCTGTTCTAGATAGCTCCTGTCACTGTGTGTAATGAGGATTCTCCATGCACTAAATAGCCAGGCACTTGAAATTTGGCAAACACTATTCCCCCTCTCCACTCCCCACCTTGGTGCTCTCATTCATTGACTTGTGGGGCCTCACTGGGAGAGGAGAAAGCTGAGGGGGCTTTTTTGTTGTTTTTTTTTCCTTGACTTCATGTTGGCCTTGATCACAATCTCCTTTAAAAGCGATAAACAATGCCTGGAGCTGCAGCACTTGTGTAACTTCTCCTTTTTGGACAGAAATAAATGGAAACCCAGGAATGTTTCTGAGGTGTTGGGCAGGTGGGTGTCTGTCGTTGAATCACTACTGAATGAACCCTGGCTGCCAATGGAGTTAGCCACAGGTACTGCTAATTATGGGGCCAGTACATTTTAGTACCTGAAGGTATATCTCGCTGAGGGTTTGTTTTTTTTTTTTGCACTGATTGTGCCAAAGTGCTCTCCCCAAACCAGAGAGATGCACAGCAGACAAGGCAGAACAGCTGGAGCCGGAGCCAGCTCTCTAGCACTTCCTTAGGCCAGTTTGAATAGTTTGCTGTTGGAATTTACCTTAGACTAGGAACAAGATGGGAAATTTCTGCCTGACAGCAGAGCTAACACTGGATACTCCAAACTGGTTATTGATAGCACCTGCTTAGAAACTCGCTAGCAGGATGGGCATGGGATAGGTGATTCCAGGCTGTCTCTAGCCTCCAACTCCTTTGAGCCAGATCGGTAGCTTCAAGTACATAGGACACGTTCCTTCTGCACCAGATATGAAAGTTTTAAACTGAGCAATGTGCCAAACCTGTAAATCCTATTAGCATGTTCAAGCTATTACAAGGATGTTTGCATTACTGCATGGACCATGAAGTGCTGAGAATCTCTTTGATCAGCATAAAGGTCATACTCCTTGCTTCATTAACACACAAGCAGATTTCCCATGTAGCAAATGGCAGAGATTCAAAACTGCTTCTTCCACTCATGCAAAACAAAAACCAGTCTTGATATTTCCCTTTAGAATAGTGGGAAAGGGAGGAGAGGGAAGAGCTTATCAAAGTAGATATCAGTTGCCTAGGAAGGTTTTTGGACTTTGAAAGTTGGAGCCATAATAAAGCAGGGAAGATCTTTCTTGTAGAGAAGCCAAGTGCATTGAGCATCATTCTCCTCCAGCAGGAGCTAGGTGCTGCCAAAATGTTACCTCCTGTTCAAGCAGGAGTTCCCTCTTGCTGGGGCCGTGCTAAGGGCCACTGTATAAAGGTAGTAGCAATACAGGCCTTCCAGTGTTATATAGGCACCAGCTCCACACCCAACTTCAGCCACCACGTGCCATGAGTTTTCAACTTCTGAAAAGCCCAGATAGTTAACCAGAGCCCCACGAGGAATCTCCCTTCTCCCTAATCCTGATCCAGTGATACCTGATCCCTGGCCAAACTTGGCTCTTAACGCCCTTTTTCTGGTGGTGGTTTTTTCTCCCATCCCTTCCGTTGGTCAGAAAGATGCCTGTGTCCTGGATGGACAGATGGGAGATGGGTTGTTTTGTGTTGTTTTGTTACCCTTTGCATTGCATGCTATGGCTCCAGCTGCCAGTAACTCTGGCTTTCCAGAGTTGTCAAATCATGCTTGATCCTTCTCAGCCTTGTGCTGTATTTAATATACAGAGGTCAGGCTGTTCCCAAGTATGGTTCTACAGCCAGTGGTGATGGGCTGTGTTTGGGCAGCCTGGCCAGGCACTTTGCTGTTGTAATTCACACCAGAGCCTCCTGATCCCTGCCCTCCTGCGAGGGACATAGGAATCCTGATGCTGCCTAAGCAGCGGCGAGTTGGCCTCATGACCGAGGGGCACACTCTGCACTCATTAACTCCCCATCTGACTCCCCTGTCCTGGGGAAAGCTCCCATAACTGCACTGGTGTTGGGCGGCACAATGACAGGTGATTGCTATGGACAAGCTAGCATGGCCATGATGTGGGCATTTCCATTACGGTGTTGTCTAGATTTGCACTTGTGCTCCCACCACTAGAGCTGCATGGGTGAGGGAGTGACGTAGCCTACCCTCCAGCCTCTCGCATCTCTCCGCGTGCGTAAAGGGTGCGCTGACTGTTCGTTCCTCTGCTAGTCTGGGGATGGCGGCACATGAGGCTTCAGGATGAAGGAGGGTGCTAGATGGGATTAGGCTGGAGAAAGTCAAAGGACCTTTTTGGAGCTGAGAAAGAAGGGTAATCCACTTGGACACAGTCTCGTGAAAGCGAAGTGACCTGCTGTGCTGTGCTCTGCTTGCTTTTCCGACTGGCCTTGTCATGCTATGTTGATCAGTCTCATGTTAAGGGCATTACTGTTACCGAGTATGATTCTCTAGCTTTATTTTCCTGAGCAGAGTTCCCTGAAATCACAGGCGGAGCCTGTTTCACTCCCTAGCATGTTTACTGTACGGCAGACCTCAGGCATGGCTCTGTGGGGAGGGGGCTGGAGCTCAAATGCACTTTGCAGGTTTCCTGCTTTTTTATTTCCCTTCTAGCCAGGGGTTTTCTTTCTGTAAATTCCAGTTTCCAGCTTGGCATGAGGCGGCATTTTAACCTGTCCCTGGCTGCTGGTTGTACATTCCCTCATTCAAACTGGACAGTAGAACGGGGCACTGTGCTCCCTGGTTTTGTGCATCTCTGTGCGTGTTTCCCCCACCCCCTTCTTCCATGTGCTTTTCTTCTATAGAAGAGGACCCAGGGTTTCTCCTCTTGGGAAGTGAGGGAAGGTTACTACAAAGTCCCCTCTTGAGAAATGCACTCATCTGGTGTCCTGGGATCTAGTTCACGGACCAGAAGGAATGGGGCTGGGTGTGTTTTCAAGTCAGAATCTCTCTGTCTGCAATAAAGGGGTACGATAAAGATTGGCAACACAGCTTGAGCAAACTGCCCTGCTTGCTTGTCTTGTGATCCCTCAAGTGGGGGTGGGGATGAGGGCTGAAAATCCAAGGGGCTTGAGTGGAAAGTCTAGACACCTGGTCAGCGTTCGTGCCACACTGCCTCTCTCCAGTGTTTCCATACAACAGGGCTACTCTGACTCTTATTGAAGCTGTTCCCCTTTTGGCTAGAAGAGGTGTCTGTTACCTGCGCAGATAACCCCTGAGTAGATGCTTGATGGCATTTGGTATTGAGAAATCCCCTTTTTCCCCCCTAGCTGCCAACTGAGAAGCAGATGTACTGCGAAAGGGATACTGCAGCCAACACACTGCTGTTTTTATTTTGATTATGTCTTTTTGGAATGCTCTTCCTACTAGAATATTTTTATTTTCTTTGTACACCATACAATCATGTACTCTTAACAGAGATTTACTTTAAAGAGAAGAAAAAGAAATCTGGAAGTATTCTTTAAAAAGAAAAATACGAAAAAAAAAAAACTTTATTAATAATCCTGTATTTTTACTGATCATGTTTGAATGTCTAAAAAGACTTTATTGTTCTAATTATCCAGACGTATGTTTGTAAAATAGCTCTTTTATGACTTAGCGGATAAGGTTGTATGTTTCTGGAATTAAATATTGGTCACTTAAAAAAAATACTTCTGTTTTCAGGATCTGGGAACTAGAAAATTTTAAGCGTTTCAAATATCATTAAATAAGCTTAAAGGAACCGAGTCCTTGACTGCCTGGTTTTTTGTTTTGTTTTTGTTTTGTTTTGTTTTGTTTTTGTTAATTGCCTGGAGTGCTTGGCAGGACAAGCTGTTCCAAAGAGGGAACTTGATGGGCAGGGGAAGCTTTTATTGAGTACAACTGACCTTTCAGACTCTTGATGCTGTGGCAAAGTGGGGAGCCTTTCTCACAGTTAACACAATTGTTCTTATTGATTAGTAGCTCTTTCCCGGAGGGAGAGCCCCCCTGCTGGTACTGGTGACAGTCAAGACATCCTGCTTTTGCTAACTTTCATGTAGACGTGGCGAGCGCGGTGGCTGTCTGGAGAAGGGGCTGACACTGGTCCCATGCGGGGCAATGAGGCTTTCGCGGTCCCGCCAAGGTGAAAGGTCTAAGTGTGTTCTGTCATTCCAGACACCGAAGTCTCCTCTCCCACTGTCATCCCCTGCTGCCTCCATAGAAATCCATGATCAGGCCTGGTGATCTGCTTTCTTGCTGATCAGCGCTTTCACCTTCACCCTGCTTTGTCCTCAGGCTAACCTTCCAGCAGTACAGAGTGAGTAACATAGAGATTTCCTGCCACTGCAGTCTCTCCTAGATTGTCTTCTAGCATCTGTCATTAATACATCTCGCTCTGAACGTCTGCCCCTGAAATCTATGCTCAAAGGTCACCTTTTCATACCACCCCCATGAAATTCAATAGGAATCTTTCCATTGATTTCCAGGGGCTTTAGGTCAGGCCCTGTAATCTTGGGGAATTGAGAACACCAGTTCAGATCCTCGAAGGCATATTAACACCCAGCTGCCATTGAATCAACTTGGATGCTGCAGTAGTAATAGGCAATAGCTCAGGCAGTGCAGAACGCTGTCCTCATTGCCTGCCTGTGGTCTCTGTCCCACACATCTTGCTGCAGAACAAAACTGACGCACAGCAAACAAGGCCAATTGATTCTTTCCTCCTCTTGAGAACATGTGGCTAGGCTGAGGGTTTTGCTAGAGACCTGCATCCTTTTCAGTTTATACAATCCCTCCATGCTTCCTAATTTTTTAAGGGTCCTCTCTCACCCTGTGCCCTAACCATGTGGAAGGTACCACCTTCCCGTAGCAGAAGATACACCCACCCTGCTCACAACTGCTCTGAACCTTCTCCACAGCCTGATACAATGTAAGCACCACCCTGCTGGGGAGTGAAGTATTTATCTCCATTCTAGTGAATTCCCATCTTGTAGTGTTCGAAGTTTGCCTCGAGCTTTATGCAGCATGTTGATGACATGCTGGAGACCTAGAGCAGCTGGAGGATGGGTATCAATGACCTAATAGATCTTCTCATTCTCACCTCTGATTCCTCTGAAACATTTTTAACGCAAGCCAGATATCCAGGATATTAATGCTATTGCTTGCAATGACTTAATAAATGCTCAGTGTTTACCTCGGCTCTTTCATGGCAGTCCTGTACCTGCCGATTTGGAAGTGTCTGTAATGTTCTTCATAATTGTTTGCTCTTACAGGGGTCAGCGTGGTGGCCTGCTACAAGAGCCAGAGGCTACTTGTCTAAAAGGTCATAAATAGCAGGGAGTGTTATAAGGTATGAGACAAACTAACCACTTTTGTCTGCACAAATATCATAATCCTTATTGGATGGAGGCACCATGGGTGAATAATGGCACCAATGGGTTCCCTTCCCAGTTAACATCTTCAGCTGTAAGAGAAGAGACGCTTGGGGATGCTCTACCTTGTGTTGAGCAGCAGGATGGAATTGGCTCAAACAGCTCTGACTTCATACCTAGCACTAAAACAACAAAGCTGCCCTCAGCCTAGCAGGCCAGATGCTGCTGCAGGAGCTTCCCTATAGTAAATCATCTATTCGAATCGTTACACACGTTGATAACACCCGTAGGATTGTCCTTGCTGGATCCGTGGTGGCTAATAGGTAGGCGGTGACTTGCAGCTGGGAGCCAAAGTCAGGTGTGGAGTGCAGCCCTGGGTATCACTTTGTGGGGAATGTTTTTGTTTTGCCAACACATCCTTCCCCTGTCATTAATAGCAGCTTAATGAGCAGTTTGCAAATCTAACTTGGCTGTCAGCGTTAATGCTCTGACTCATTTGTTCAGCTTTGAGAGTGAAATAAGACCAGTCAGTTTCACTTCCTGTTTCGAGTCAGCCGCACTTTCCCGTGGCCGCGGGCTGTGGCACGCGGTGCGCTTGCATTCAGGTTTCCAGCGGCGCAGCAGGACGGGGAAGTCCAGCTGGAAACGTCCTCCAGAAAAATGAGCGGCCTGGGCGTTTATTCATTCAAAAGTAGTGACTTGTGCTTTTAAAACAAAATCTAACCGTCTGGGTAAAAGGAACTCTGACAGAGGGTCCTTTTTAACGGGGCTGTTAGAGTTATGGATCTGGCAGCATTTTATTATTGAGGCTTGTTACAGCAGCTCCCTCCTTACCTTGCAAGCTCTCGGTCTAGCTGAAAGGCTGATGTTTCATGTGAAGTATCTGCCATCC